GTTGAACCAGGACGAGTCTGCAGTGCACTTCCCAGCGCCACACAGTTAGGATGGATACGGCTCTTGAGAGACTCAGATTTGCTTTCCTAGGGCCCTAAGCTGGCTTGTTATTTGATTGTTAAGGTACTGACAGTGGAATTTCTAAACAGTAAGACCGAAAAACTCTCTGCAGAGTGAATATGTGACTCCATCAGTTCAGCCTTCTGCTTCTGCTGTTTTTTCTTGTGTTTGTATCCCTTATTTTGGACTTTTGTCACATGCTGTAAAGGCCAGTGTTGTATATCTGGGTCTTTGCAGGTTGAGAACTATGACTGTGAATTATCAATTAGCCAATTATCACCTAGTCAGGGGGAAGACAGAGTGATCCTCTTGCTGGCTTGAATGTGATCCTTCCTCCTTCCCCTGCTCTTTCAAAAGGAAGGACAGGAATGGTTTACATCCAGAACACTGCCAAAGGAATTCAGATGTGAAATTTCTCTGCAGACTGTAGTCCCTTTAAATTTAGAATAATTTATGTGCGTTGTTTTTACTAATATATTTTAAGATCATGACTTACTGCTCCAGGAGAGCCAGTTATGTGATGCATACATTGAGAAGCTATAGGTGTCAGTAGTTACTTTGGACACCTCAAGGTGGATCTTACTGGCCCTGGGGGATGGTGCTTGAGGCCAGCAACACAATGTTTGATTCACCTCCTGCCTCCCTTGTCTGTGGCACAGCCAATACTCCGTCTGCAGCACACGTTCAGGCATGTCACAACCCCTCTGGGTTGCTTAGACTTTCTTTTTTTTTCTTTGCTGAATTTTTCTTCACTTTGTGGTCATGAATCCGGTATGACACTGCAGTTGAGTGTTTCATCAAATGTAATGTTTAATAGTCGCTCCAATGGTCTTAACCAGAAAGAAGTTTCTGACAGCAGTTTCTGATGCATGTCTTAGGAAAAGGGGTAGTGCTTCTAGCTGCAGTCTAGGGTTCGTAAATGGCACATAAATAGCATGAATGCACTTGATTTCTTAGTAGCTCATTTAATCTATCTAGCTTTTTAACTGTGACAATGGCTCGGCTGTCCAGAAAGTCTATAACCTAATATAGTAAGTTTGTCAGCTCATGTGTGCTGTCTAATTTCAACTGTCCAACTACGTGTCATAGGTCTTTTGATGCTAAAAGTGACGTTATTCTATTTGGAGAATTCAGAACCTGCATTTCAGAGGAGGGTGATCTGATTCATGTCTTAGAAGAATGACCACAGTGATATTGAAGACAGGCATGGGCTTGTTCAAGATGATCATGTTTATTCAGAGCCTGTCGGTGGAATGAATTATGTTGCTGATCATTCCAGTTGGTGATGCCTTTTGAATCTCCGTTGATCTGGCTGAGAGCAGTGTATGGCTTCCAGAAGCTTGTTCTCACTTCTCATACATAAAGGCTCCTGATTTGCACGGGGAGGGTGCTGGGTCCTTTGTCCTTATCGTTACTCTTTAGGTCTCCATGTGTTTGGCTGCATAATTTGCTAGTACACACAAACTCTGCAATGAATTAATATCCTTTAGTATCGAAGTTGTCAGTTCTTAGTCTAAAATAGGAAGTCTGTCCTGTTTTGCCACTACAATAACGAAAGCTTGAAGCTTTTTGAGTTGGTCATCTAGTTCTTCCTGTAAAGCAAGGCAACCATAAAAATATCTTCAAATAGTGGGTGATCATTTCCATGGCATGAAGCAGAGACTGTGTAGGAAGAAGAGATTGCCCATAGGTACTGCTGTTTCCAAATAATGTTTTAGGAAAGTCCTTGCTGAAAAGGCAGGGAGAAGCCAGATTTTATAGCAAGAGACCTGGGATTTAGGAATTATTCAGAGGATCCATCTGTGGTCTGAGCATTAAAATCTGTTTGCTAGATTGCTTTGGTCTGGTGCAATTTACTTTCTGTGAATCTTGACTGATGTGAGTGTGGCCTTTGGTTGTGCCCAGGCTGCCAGCCCTCCCTGTGTGTCGCTGCAGCACACAGCTCTCCCTGGGCATTAATCACTCTTTGGTGGGTGGCTCAATGTAGTAACCTCAAGGACATCATTAAAACTCTCCACAAGAATAACTTCAATGCCTGTAACATGTAATTATGCTTTACAAATGCACTGAAGTGCTTCTTATTTTCACAAAGTAGATTTTCCAAACTAAACCCAGGATACTCTGTTAAATGAGCATTTATTTTTCATTAATAACATGTGGTGTGAAGTTCATTGGAATTGATTGTCCTATAGCTGCTCTGTATTTGATCATGGGACTTTTAAAATAAAAAGTCCTGCATGTTTATTTTGGCCACGGTTAGACTATTTTTTGCCATGTTGAAGGAAAAAAAACCTACTCAGCATGGGTTCCGAAGTCCATACTTCCATGCACATACCTGTACTCGTCTGGAATCGGCTCCTGGATCCCGTCTACTGTTGTGATTTCATTTGATGGTCACCTGTCTGCATGCTAATTCTGCTCTGTGCTCCACGGACCTGGCTGGTAGGACAGTCAGAAGCCCTAATAACTGTCTTAACTTTGCTCTTGTTGTCCAAGGAGTGATGAAAGGTCTGAAAGACACCACAAGCTGTCATTGAAAGACTCAGCTCTGTTTCTGAATACTTCCATATTTTCAGTGAGGGCCCAATTAGCCACTGTTAATGTGTAAAATAAACATGAGAGAAGTTATTCCAACCTTCTGTCAATGCAAAACTTTTTTCCAGTCTGTCTTTCAAGCCCAAAGGAATCCCCTCGGGGAGCGAACCTGCTTGAATATCTGTATTTAATCTTTAATATCAGGAGCTAAACCTCTGGCAGTTACATATCACTGGCAGGCTGCTGTTTGTGAGTCCTGATTCCAATTAAAAAAATACTTACTCCCACAAATTTCCCACCCAGTCAAATGTAGGTCCGTGTGTTTTGGACCAGATCTTGACTGCTCATCATCATGACAATCAGAATCCTTTCCCGTGCTTGGTAAGAGTGGGGTCAGGCGTGTGGGGGAAGATGTGCACTGGAACTGCTTCAGTGACCAGGGGATTTTGTGAGCCCAGGTCTCAGAAGGCTCCGCAGAGGGATCTGGACAGGCTGGATCGATGGGCCAAGGCCAATGGGATGAGGTTCAACAAGGCCAAGTGCCAGGTCCTGCATTTTGGTCACACCAACCCCCTGCAGCGCTACAGGCTGGGGGCAGAGTGGTTGGAGCTGCCCAGCAGAAAAGGCCCTGGGGGTGTTGGTGGACAGCCGGCTGAACAGGAGCCAGCAGTGTGCCCAGGTGGCCAAGGAGGCCAACAGCATCCTGGCCTGGATCAGGAACAGCGTGGTGAGTAGGGCCCGAGAGGTGATCGTCCCCCTGTACTGGGCACTGGTGAGGCCTCACCTCGAGTACTGTGTCCAGTTTTGGGCCCCTCACCACAAAAAAGACATTGAGGTGCTGGAGTGGGTCCAGAGAAGGGCAACAAAGATGGTGAGGGGTCTGGAGCACAAGTCTTGTGAGGAGAGGCTGAGGGAGCTGGGGGTGTTCAGTCTGGAGAAGAGGAGGCTGAGGGGAGACCTTGTCACACTCTATAACTACCTGAAGGGGGGGTGTAGAGAGGTGAGGGTCGGTCTCGTCTCCCAAGTCACAGGAGATAGGACAAGGGGAAATGGTCTCAAGTTGCACCAGGGGAGGTTTAGATTGGATATTAGGAAACATTTCTTCACCGAAAGGGTTATCCAGCATTGGAATAGGCTGCCCAGGGAGGTGGTTGAGGAGGTGTTCAAAACACGGGTAGACATGGTCCTCAGAAATGTGGTTTAGTAATTTTTATTTCCTATTTCTTATTTATTTTTTTGTCAGGTTGATGGTTGGACTAGATGATCTTCAAGGTCCCTTCCAACCTAGACAATTCTATCAGTCTGTTTACTGTGGGGATATATTTGTGGTTACTGTCAAGTAAAATCTGACCATTTTCAGATTGCCTTTCTGAGTTTGGCCTGATAATGGTGTTGATCTACACACCAAATCTTTGTACAGTGAGCATTCATGTCAAAGTTTGCAGTCCTGCTCAGTTGCATACAGGGACAGCTATTTGGATACGTCAGTAACTAAGCCGATTCATTTGTGTGGCTAAAAATATGTAGGAGCTCTTTAGAGAACATGCCTTGATAAACATTCCCATCTGATAGATTTTTGACTGTCATGCCGACGGATTGGGATTCTGAGGGATTGGGTCCCACTGATTTCACAGGGTACCATACAAGGTGATGTGGCACTTCAGGGCATGCTCTAGTGCTCGAGATTGTTGGTTTGTATCTGTCTGTGAGTGGGTGTGCTGTGGGTGGTTTTCTTTTTGTTTGTTTGGTTTGTTTTTTGTGGTTGGACTCGATGATCTCAAAGATCCCTTCCAACCTGATTCTGTGATTCTGTAATAAGCACAGCTGCTGGGCTTTTAAAACTGGACCCGTGAGCGTTGGGAGTGTGTGTCTTGGGTAATGAGGAGGGGTCTCTGCTTTTCATTCTAAAAGTATACATCTGCAATAGCTCGGCGGAGTGTGGGCTTATCGTGGTGTCACAGGGCAGAGACCCTTCAAACGTGTTGGTGTTTGCCATGCCAGGTGAAGGCGTGGGCACAAATGTTATGTGCAGTATTCAAAGAGCATTGAAACAAAATTTTAAAATAAAAGCTAAGCTGTAACCTTACTCACTATCTTGCCTTTTTGTGTATTTCAGCTCTGGGTTTATTTTATCAAGTTTTCTCTATATTGCATAAGCTTTTGAGACAATGAATTCTTCAGAATTGAGGAACAGGTAATACTCTGTGTGCTTGAAGTTCAACCTGCATATTTGGTTTTATGATAAAGATTGCAAAATTCATGTGTATGATGCACATGGGAGTTCTGAGCATGAGAAGAAAAGTCAAGGTGTAAAATAAGTCAATATTAGATCTAATGAAATTCATGTTTTTCTTTTTCCTGGATAGTGCGTTATGTGATCTGATCTGCTGTGATTCTCCTTGCAGGGAAAGAGGGGAAGACGATTCAAGGAAGCAAACTGGACTCCCCAAGAAACACATTTTCTACTTCTGAATTATCAGACAGCAATAAACAGGCTGGCTCACCTGGAAGAAGCAAAGAAATGTGGGTGTCTCTTCCACCACAGATGTCAAATGAGAATGAGGTAATGAGTTAACATTTGTCCGTGTGGACAAGCACCACATCCAAACAGATGAAAATGTGGGGAGATACACTGTCCAAATGTTAGAAGCCAGTGGTATTTATCCCAACGGAGGCAAATATTTAAAATACTACCTAAGTGTGGAGTGCTTACAGAAGCACCTGCAGGGTTCACGTTTGGCAGTGGCATTTGCTCTGCTGAAGAGCTTCCCTAATCTGACTAATAAATAAGGCACCCTGCGAGGACCTTTGAAATGCTTTCCCTGGCGGCCGCCGCTCGCAGCAGAGGTTGGCAAAAAAGCAAGAAGTCTTGAGAGTGTGAACGCCAGCCTCCACAGATTTATTTTGTTTATTGGGGATTTTAGCAAGCGCTGAATCCTGTGTTACTGCAGCTAGATTGCTTCAGCTAGCTAAAGTCAACAGTAGGCAGGCCAGAGGCATTTTTAATCTTCTGAAATATATGAGATTAGGGATTTAATGTGTAGGGACAGGAAAACAACAGACATCATCTGGAGAGAGCGAGATGGAAATCTGAGTCCGCTTGTTAAGAATTTCTGCCCTCCTGCCTGAATAGCAAATAACTAAGCTGTGGTCTAGCCTGCGCTCAGAAATTCCCTTCATTAAACTTTTTATTAAAAGAGAAGCAGCAGGTCATTTTGTACAATACATGGGGCAACAGACTGAAGTGCCGTCAAATGATGGGCCTGCCAGGCCTCAGTCAGAGAGCACAAGCTGTCATTTTCCTCCCTATTAGCACATGCTTTGGATGGAGAGTCAAGCAAGGCTTTTAAAGCAATCACATTCTGTCCGTTGATTGTGCAATAATAATGACAAGAATCTTTTTGCCATTTTCCCCATGAAGAATATGGTTGCCTCATTGGGATAGTCCGCTTTTGGGTGCCTCACTGCAGCCACTTGGGCTTGGCTTTCTGTCCCATAAAGCCATGTGCGACTTCCATTATCCTTTATTTAATGGGATGTCTTAACACTTGGTTTTGTTGCTACAGGAAAAAAGTGTTTCAGTTATGGCTGCACATTTTTGTCCTGTCAGCAGTTTAAGAAACAAGCACAGCAATAGTGGAATGCATCAGAAAAATTGCTAGCGTGGTAGCGGGAGGAGGCGGAGATGCAGCAAGTTGGACGCTGTAACTTTTAAGCCTGCCCTGAAGCAAGGAAAGAGGGAAAAACTGCTATTGAAAGCAATGCTGCTGTTCTAAATGCTGCTTTTCAGGCGTGTTGTCATTACCTGCACTGTGGTTCCAGTTGATTCAGTCTGGTCCTATGTAGGTTTTCAGAGGATTACGATCCGATTTCAGGAGCATTGCATTCAATTTTAAAAAACTTTTAAATAGACCATGAAGGATCTGTACGTGTAAATCAGGAGGAGCTTTGACTGGGATTTTGGTTCTGTTTCACACATATAAGTATTTCTGGCCATCTATTGACAGACAGTGACGAATGAGAGAAGGAGAGCTGGTGTCTCTGGTGGAAATCATCTCAGTCTCTCTGAAACAGTGAAGGTGAGGTCTACTTTCATTCTCTTCTAAGTGGGGATTACAGGTAGATCATGATTGAATTTTGCTTTATTTCTTTACTAAGTACTTAAGATTTGTTGATGTATTTCTTTCCCATCTGTGGGAAAGAAGGATGAGACCATCACCATCCAACATTTGTTTTCAAGTGTTAATGAGTGTGTACTTTTAAAGTGTAAAGGTTATGTAAGTGTTGATGAGAATGGTGCCAAATCAGGTTGGAAAAATTAGCTAAAATCATCTCTAATTAGTGCATGAAACACAGAAGACTACCCAGTGTGTAGAGTAGATCCTCCATGGTAACACTATTTGCACATGGGCCTTTCACTCTCACCCTGTAACTCTGTTCAGAGTGCTGCCTGAAATAAGAAATGTCTTTTCCTGTGGCATGTTTTAGACAGCTTAGACCATTTTGAAGGGACGTCAGCCTGAAACAACAGTAGTGCAATGTCCCAGATGAAATACAACAAATGGAATAATTCTTCGCTTTTTTATTTGCCATTCAGTTCCCCATTAGTAAAGAAAAAGAGGGATGAAGCTCTACTTTGCCTGCAGCGTGTACTGTCCCTGTGCCGTATGCAGTCATCTTGCAAAACTGCAGAGTAGCTTATCGTGTATCTTTGTCCTGTGAACATATTTTACTTCTCCATCTTCCCACTAAGTTCCTGAAAAAGTTGCTGTACAGCTTGAGCTTCTTTCCCAGCACTGTAGCTTATATGCAGCAATTTTGGCAGCAATTTTTTGCCCTTACTTGAAAGTATTTCCTTTGGGTTACGCATTTCAAAGAAAACTCATCTGCTTTCTTGGAAAAATGCAGGGGAGAATGGAGAAGGTGAAGGAGACAAAGTAATGCTTTTTTTGCATTGCTCTAGAATGTAGTATAAGAAATGGATTTAATACGTTTTAATAATTTTCCAATTTGGGGTTTTTACAGCAGGTGGACAAGTACTTAGATTTGGAAGACGTAGACACAGATGAAGAGATGTGCAATGGTAGGTTTCCCCCTTGTTCATATTCACTGTCGTTGTCTGCCTTCGGATGCAAGTGTGTGGACACTGTTTAAAGCAACGGATGAAGGGATAGAATGTACCTTCAGCAGGTTTGCTGATGACACGAATCTGGGAGGGGTGTCTGATGCACCAGAAGGCTGTGCCACCATCCAGCAAGACCTGGACAGGCTGGACAGCTGGGCAGAGAGGAACCTGATGAAATTCAACAAGGGCAAGTGTAGGGTGCTGCACCTGGGGAGGAATAACCCCCTGCACCAGGACAGGTTGGGGGTGACCTGCTGGAGAGCAGCTCTGAGGAGAAAGACCTGGGAGTCCTGGTGGACAACAGGATGACCATGAGCCAGCAATGGGCCCTTGTGGCCAAGAAGGCCAATGGCATCCTGGGGGGCATCAGGAAGAGTGTGGCCAACAGGTGGAGGGAGGTCATCCTGCCCCTCTGCTCTGCCCTGGGGAGGCCCCATCTGGAGCACTGGGACCAGTTCTGGGCTCCCCAGTTCCAGAAGGACAGGGAACTGCTGGAGAGGGGACAGCAGAGGGCTACAAAGATGATGAGGGGCCTGGAGCATCTCCCTTATGAGGAGAGGCTGAGGGACTTGGGTCTTTTTAGTCTGGTGAAGAGAAGACTGAGGGGGGATCTGATCAACACCTATAAATACTTCAAGGGAGGGTGTCAGGAGGATGGGGCCGGTCTTTTTTTCAGTGGTGCCCAGGGACAGGACAAGAGGAAATGGGCACAAACTTGAACATAACAAGTTCCATCTAAACATGAGGAGGGTGGCAGAGCCCTGGCAGAGGCTGCCCAGGGAGGTGGTGGAGTCTCCTTCTCTGGAGACATTCAAACCCCACCTGGACACGTTCCTGTGGGACCTGCTCTGGGTGGACCTGCTCTGGCAGGGGGTTGGACTAGATGATCTCCAGAGGTCCCTTCCAACCCCATAGCATTCCGTGACTCTGTAAAGCAATGATTCTTCTCTAAAAAAAAATGATCTTCCTCAGTTCTTCTATTACTAGAAAGTTCCCCAAATTGCCCAGATTACTCAAATTAAAGTTCCTATTTCCTCACTCTAAGAGATAATGAGATAATAAGTTATAAAGAATATTTATTATACTGTGTCCTGGTGAGCAGGTTTTTTTTTCAAGATTTTTCAGAATTACAGAACACTTCTTGTTAGCAACATTTCTACATTTTTCTGCACTTCTAATTTGTACTGAAATTGACTTAATTACAGAAGTTTCTCCACAAAGTAACGTGGGTGCTATAACGTGGAAATATTTAATCAAAATGTTGTCCCTACCTATTAAAATGATTTCATCCTGGGTTTAAAATTGATGAGACTAATTTTTAATTCACAGTGAACTTTAAGAATTCCAATTATGAGCATTTTGAGTTGTGTTGAACTGTTTCACCCATCTATAATAATTTTAACTCTCCCACCTCTAAAAAGTAAATAGAAACCTGGGGTCCGTAGTTATTTGTCACCTCTAAAAAGTAAATAGAAACCTGGGGTCTGTAGTTATTTGTCTGTCATAGGTGCTTGTGTGGTCTTTATTACCAACAGAATTGATGACATTTAGGGATTAAATGTGTTTTCCTCATCTACACCTGTGCCTGCACAAAGGAACAACCAAGCCACACAAATTATGGGATTTTCCTGAGGTCACTGGAAGAGCAGGACTTTGGTTCTCAGTTCCTTGAGTAGTGCCATTTGTTTAGACTGTCTAATCCATTAAAGATTTGATTAGTCTTTTCTGTACATGCAGAACTCCTATCAAGTCAGAGGGCTTAGAGACTTCCAGTTGATGGCTATTTGGAGCTTGGCTGTAACTCACAAGAAATAATAAACCAACATAAGCCAGGTTTACAGCAAATATTTTTTCTCCGTCCTGAGCATTTCAGGAAGGGGGAATAAGAGGACAGTCCTGTACCAGGTACAGACATCAAAGATTTCTTCCAAGTGCAGTGTTCATTGGTGCCCATTTTTCCCTTGGTGGGACATGGTTCTGTGTTTATGTCTTAAATTCTGGTAATATCTATTAAAAAACGTGGGGCTCACTGGCAGAAGCTTAAACCCATATTTCACTTGTGTCATAATGAAATGAGAATGGTCTGTATCTGGTTGATGGAAGTATTGTTAGATATCTCTAGTTCAAACCCGGATTATGAGAAATAAGCCCAACACTAAAATACCAAGCAGGGCAGTGAGGAAGCAGGAACTCTACAGAGCTTGGGGATAGCTCACCACTGTCTGCACCGTGCCAGCCCTTGCCTCTCTCCAGGCTTCTCTGTGTATTTGTATGCAAGAGTAAATGTTAATCACATTCATTTGGAAACCCCTAGTAAAATTACAGAAATGATCACCTGCTTGTACTGTCTGGATAGCACTTTACGCAAGCCACCTTGGCAAAACCTTTCAGTTAGTGTTTTATTGGCGATTATAAAAACAATAAACATAACATGATACCGCCACTACTGTAAATGGTCAGTGGGCTTTACTACCTGCTTTTTCCGTGGCATTTGGTTTGGGTTTTGGTCTCTGCCCTCCTGAGCTCATCCCATGGGCAGCATTCCCTGCACACCCTGCCTCAGCGCGGAGAGGAGTCCCATCAGCTCCTAAGCCATCACCCACACTCACTGGCAACGGGAAGCATTTAGATTGTGTTTTATGGCATCAAAACACTGCATAGCCAGGAGCTGATTATTCCTGCTAATCTGTGTAGGGAAAGTCAACAGAATCCAAATTTATTCCTGGGAAACCCACAGCGTAGGTCTTGCCCAGGGCTTCTTCAGTGGAGATAGCTGTTGAGTCAAGATGAAAAATTTCCACTTGGCTCCTAAGTGCAGAAAATAGTACTTAAAGTTTAATAGTTGTCTTGCATGTCAAAATGCACTTGATAGGCTTCATGATAAGAGAGGTATAATCTTGCTCCTATAGAAACCATAGCAACAAAATGCAAATTGAAATATAAAATGGTGTCACTTCTATTGTTTGCAATAATAAAGTAATATAAAATAATATCCCTGTTGAACACCAATAAAGAACTAATTCTGAAGAATTCTGAAGAATTCCAGTTAGTTTATAAGTGAGGCAAAATGTGACACAAATCTGAAAGATGTTCTGTTGCTGACCTTTTTAAATGCTGCCACCTGTATATCAGAACAAATGATAGATTTAAGACTTTGTATTGGCAGAACAAGGCAGGGCACCCGGTGAAAAGCGTCATACCTTGCTGGTATGGTTACAACAAGCTTTTCTCTCTACTTTTTATTGGCAACAGTTCAGTATCTCCCTACTTCATTCAGCTTCAAGGGGCACATCAACTGAGTTAGGAACTGTACATTAATACAGTAAATATTCACCCGTAAGGGGAAGTGGCTCAAAGCTGATAGTGTGAAAAGCCGAGTAGAAAGTAGGGGTTAAAACATCATATCTAAACCAATGCTTTTTGGGACGTGTCCCATAAGAATCATTCTAGTGGGTTTTTTTCTCTGTTTTTTGTTTTCAAATCATTTTCCAAAGTCACAGAATCACAGCATCTTCATGGTTGGAAGGACCTCTGAGATCACCAAGTCCAACCATACACACACACACACACAAAAGACCCCCACAATCTCAGGCACTAGAGCATGCCCTGAAGAGCCACCTCTACACGTTTCTTAAATCCCCCCAGGGATGGTGACTCCACCACCTCCCTGGACAGGCCGTTCCAGTGCCTGACCACCCTCTCAGCAAAGTCATTCTTCCTCAGATCTCATCTAAACCTCCCCTGCCCCAACTTCAGACCATTTCCTCTGCTCCTGGCATTGTTCCCCTGGGAGAAGAGGCCAACCCCCACCTCTCTACACCCTCCTTTCAGGGAGCTGTAGAGGGCAAGGAGGTCTCCCCTCAGCCTCCTCTTCTCCAAACTCAACATGCCCAGTTCCCTCAGCTTCTCCTCATAGGACTTGTTCTCCAGACGGGGCCCCAGCTTGGTGGCTCTGCTCTGGACACGCTCCAGCCCCTCAATGTCCTTCCTGTAGTGAGGGGCCCAGAACTGACCACAGCCCTCGAGGTGAGGCCTCACGAGCACTGAGCACAAGTCTAATGTCTTTTAAGGTGTGAATGAATACAGCTGCTTCTTACAAAAATCAAAGCAGCCCATAGATTTGGCCAACGTACAAATGCCTTGTGGCTGTTTTCATGAGACGGCACTGGGCTGAGAGCCAGAAACCAGGGCAGAGCTTTGCATTGGCACAGCAAACCGTGACTGGCAAAGGAAAATTGCTGCCCTAAACCATAAACCATAACCTAAACCATAGCTTTAGTGCATCCTGTAGAGACAGCATGCATGTGGTGGGCTGTTTAATGGCTCTTTCTCACTGAATTTAATCTGTAAGTAGCTTAAGGCAACAATAGAGATGGTCAGGCTTTCTCCAGGGATGGATGGAAAATGCCTGGTACCTGGGTTTTGGTGACAGCATGACTTTCCAGGACTGGTGACAAATGACTTGCTGCAGGGCTCAAAGGATAGTTAGGTAATAAGAGGTGGTATTTGTATAAAGTACAAAATACGTAAAAAGGGCATCTAGAGACCATGAGTGTGCTATTTTTTAAATGCAAGAGAAAATTAAAATAGGACTAATTAAATGTCTGGGTGAGGGACAGTGATATCAGAGTCTCATTCTAACCCGGCTTGGAGCCCTGAGGTACCATAAACTTTGCTTTTCAAAGTCCTGGTTCTCTGTAACCCCCCAGAGGTTGAGGAGAATCCCAGTGACTCAGTTACTTTGAAGCTGAGGCCAAACATAACTATTTGATTATTTAAATAATTATTTAGGCAAATTATATCTGTTTCTGTTATTTTCCATAGTATGTGCCTTTCCACTTATATTTTGAGCCCGTATTTACATCCAGAAAAATCAAATTGAGTTAATTTAGGTGGATTTTTTCAAGTATGGGGCTCCCCCCAGGAGATTAATCTCTTTCCTTTTTTTCTGCTCCGGTCTCTGCAATCCATTTAACAACTGCCTCGAGATGATTTTACACTAGTTGTCTCTTCATGGCTAACAGCCCGAAGCCTGAGAGCCAGGGGAGACAGCAAAAATTAGCTTTTAAGATTTTTCATTATCACTACCTCCATCCTCAGCTCCCCATCAACAGCACTTTTTGTGTCTGAAAGTGGTAAAACCTGTGTCAGTGCATCTATAGCCGGGCATCATTTGGCTACAGTAAAGCTGAAGATTTAGACAAGACTTTGAACTTCTTCACTCTTGGAAGTTCAAATCAGGTTTGTGCCAATAGATTCTTTCTGTACTTATAATTCATGTCAACGGTGCACGGTGAGCAAAGCACCCCAACTCAGCGGTGTTCAAAGCTGTAGGAATCGCTTCCTGTGGGTCTGGTGTGTGTGTGTGTGTGGGGATAAGGTACTAAAGAGAAGACAGCAAATGGGTTTCCAAATATGCCCTCATTAAAGTGTGCTGGGCTTGAGTAAAACCACTGGCATTCACTGCTGATGGCCAGGCAGCCGATCCTCCGTGCTACAGGCAGAGGTGCATTGCAAAATCTCTTCTCAGATTTTTGTTATCACTGCCTGCTCGGTTATCTCTACAAGTGATGCTGTTGGCAGTATCCAAGGCTTTCCTGTTGCTAATTAATCACCTCCACAGAGAACATAATTAGCAGCTTAATTAGGATCATCATCCACTAGTGCTGTAGCATCAGCCTAAACCAGCTGTGAGGTACTGGCTAGAACTTACAATAGCCTACAGTTCCTTTGGGAGCTCCCACTGAGAAGGAGGACTGTCAAAACTCCCTAATTTTTCTCTCTGAAGGAGTTTCTTGATTAAACATTATCAGGGAAAGCAGCATTTACCGATTAGACTTTCATATGCTGTCATGCAGCCAGGATAGAGAGACAAAGCTCATTTCTGGCATGTCTGCTGGCAAACAAAGGTTGATTACCACATTCTTATGGGGTGATTGAAAGGAATTTGAAACATTGTTTGCATTACTAACGATCCCTAAAGGAGTGGAATTGACATTCTGAGTATGACAAGCACTTCTTGCTAAAAGCAAAAATAAATTTTCTTCTGTTGTCCTAATTTTTAAGAGTTGTCTTTCTGAGCCATCGCCAGACTCTTGCATAACAGTGCTTCCTCCTCATCTTCTCTCCACAGGTTGGTCTGTTGGGGCAGAGTTCTTAGGACAGAAATAATCAGTCTTTACGTCAGGAGGGGATGGAAACCCCCTGATGTCCAGGTATTCCTCCCTCCAGTGAGGGTGTATATATAGGATGCAAGTTTGAAATGTCAGCGGAAGATGCCATTGCCTTTAAATGAGCGTGCAGGTCTTCCTTCCGTCCTGCAGATAGTCTTGACCCAGGTTATGAAAGATGGAAAAAAGCAGTTGCAGAGCATGTGAAGACATAGTATATGCATCTGTGGACTGCACTGTTCTTTTCAGAAAGCTTTCTCATGTAACTGATGCAGAGCAAGATCAGATGCTGTGCTGAGAACAGGTACTGAGAACACATAGAGACAGATATAAGAACAGGAATGAAAACTGGAAAACACTTATATGTGAGTCATGAACCAAAAGACTAAAAAAACCAGGAAGGAGGTACCCGAGGGAACGAATTCAGCTCTTTTTTAAAGAACATTCTACTTTACAAGTCCCAAGCCCTGCTTGCTTTGAAATAGTACGCAATTCCCAGAAGAAAACTAAGTGAAGAATTAGATCATGGATTTTTTACGAGGGCTTAGCTAGGAAGGCATTAGCTTCAAACGCTGATTTGCAGGAGAAAGAGAGGTCTGTAACTCCACCACTGTGGTAAAAGTGTGCAGGTGGAGATAAATCACCACTTCTTCCTTTTCACCCTGGATCTATGTACCCTCTTGTTGGTTCCATTGACTAAAATTTAAGCAATGCTTTGAAAATTTATTCTGAGCTTTCAAGAGGAAATCAAGCTACGAAAATGTCATATAAAGCTGTAAAGAACCTTGTGTATCAGCCAGAAAAAAATAGTAGGTAGATTTACATAATCCTTTGACTAAATTGCAAGACATATGGTCCCCTTAAGTTCTTTCATAAAAACACTTCTGAGACAAGATGGACACATCTGTGCTGTAGCAGAGCTGAGATTGATTCATGTTAAAAGATATTTCTAAACCTAAAGCGTATCCTTCTGAGCTGTCACAGAAAGCAAACCCACTGTTCCCAGTATGAACTTTTTGCTCAAGTATGTAAAGGGAAAGCGATTGAGAGAGTCTGTGCGTTTGTGAACTGTGGACCAAATCCTGCCCGTGTGGAAAGGTTATGTGTTCCTGTGCCCCAGGTGTAGGGAAGTCCTTTCAGGTACCTCTTTGTGGAAAGGTCAGGCAGGAACAAACATCCATGAAATATCCTTAGTCAAGACAGTCATCTAGCACCGTACTGGGGAACAGTAGTTCTTCTACCAGGTATTTCTACTTAATGCTTTGGAAGAGTCACGTTGAGATGCTTTGCAGGGATTCTTTATGCCCAGTGTGTGTGGGTGGTGAAACTCTAGCAAAAGGTAATTGAATGGCACTGCCCAACTAATCAATGACAAGACCAGGATTCAGTCTGGTTTTATGTAACTCCTACTGCAGACATCTCTGCTCAGGACTTCCCACCTCTTTAATGAAAGAGACGGATCTAATTCCAGGTGTTCTCTGAGGTCAGAAGTGTCTACATCTAGATTTTTAATTCAGTGTCCTCAAGAAAGAAGATCTGCCTGTCTGTTTTAAACCAGGTTTGATGTTTCCTTAGTTTACTATATTTTATATCTAGATTTTAGCTCAGGACTGCATGGATCTGTTTTAAAGATAGCTGCCTATATTCTATATTATGCAACAATAAGTACGGCACACTTTGACTAACAGGATTCTGCCTGTGTCTGAGCTCTACAGGATTTTACACAGGATTTTGCTAATTTATACATTGATTGGAAGGGTAAAGTTGATTATTTTTTATTCGTCAGGGTCATTCATTCTTCCAGGAGAGGTGGGACAGCCTGTGACTCACTGTACACCCTTTTCAGATAAGCCTATTCAGCTGAAGATCAAAACTTTGTCAGTTCCACAGCCATCAGACAACAAAGCCCAGGAGGTATGGGGTCAGATAAATTTATTTCAACACTGGGGACTTGGGGTGGTTTTTTTTACCTATTGGCTTCTAACGTTATTTCCACAAGAACAGAGGGATATAGTGTGAAACTGCTGTGAGTTAACATTACATTATTAATTTTTAAATTATTAGTGAATTCTTAAATACATTAAGAATTGAGATAAACACTCCAATAGAAAGGTACTATTTTGTCTTGCACACTGCTACTATATAATCCTGTATTTTCAAAATGTGTACTTCAGTACTTCAAACTGTATGTGGACTTTTTAATATTTAATTGGTGTAATTCACAGAATATTCGAGTGAGCTCTTGCACTTCCTGGCCTTTTAACAAATCATTACTTACGTAGAATGACGGGCAATTTAATTTTCCAGTGATTTCATGAGCTTACAACGTCCTGCAGTTCTCATTGGGCTGAATTTAAGAATCATCTGCAACAAGGAGGCAGTGAATGATCCCTTTAATGTGACATTTAAAATTAAAAAAGGTTTTACAATATATTGTGATCAGAATCAGCATTTGTCCTCTTGGAAGTGAGTAGTAGCAAGATGCTGCTCAGGATCTGCATTATCTAGGTCTGGTGTGGAGAGGTTTGCATTATGGAGTCTGAGTCTTCTCATCAGACAGAATCAATATGAGCTTTAATTTAGAATTGTCATTTTCCCTCAGATTTTCAGTTCTTTTCAAACTGGAACAGAAGGTGTGGATTGCTCACAGGCTTATTTTAAGCCATTAAGCTTCCTATCCAAATAGTCAGTGTGAGCAATAACTTTTGGGAATGTTTCTATTGCAGAGAATTCTTCACCACTCTTTTCCCCTGCCTGATGACTGTAACAGAAGCTGAACTTAGCTTCTGGCTAGAATGGGCCAGTTTTGATTGTTTCATAAGCTTATTGATGTCCCGTGAGGCTTAAGTCAAGTTTATAAATGACGCATGACCAGCGAAGGATTGATGTTGTAGCAGTGCATATGGTGCCTCCTTTCCTGAGCTCAACTGTGTTTAGCTCTCTGCAGTAAACTCTTTACTGTGAGGAACAGGTCTGCTTTGGGAAAAAGTAAATGTTCTAAAATGACCTTTCAAGCTTTAATACCTACCATTCTGTGAATAAAATACTCACTCTTTTCCCTAAGGATTGACATAATACCAGGGTTTTGCCTTCAGAAATATCCATTGGTACAAAAACAACCCCCTCAACTAAAATGAAGCTTTATAGTTTTCTCATTTGATAACTTCTGTGTAAAACCAAAGAAAAGGAGTGTTGAGGCAGCCTGGAGTGTTTGTGTATGACTTTTTAAACTATGATTCATGAAAAATAGATGAAGATCCCACTGCATGCAAAATTCATTTACATTTGAGGAAAAGTTGGGTTATGAAAGAGAAACGGAGTATTATTATATTGGTTAAGGTTTTTTTTTTCCTGCTGCATTTTTCAAGAAGAAAGACTTATGATTTTCACAACTGTTTGGTTGGTGCCAGGCTACTCAAGATGAAGGCAGTCTTTCCTCTAAATTATACACGTATTTGTGCCTTCATTTAGATAATATAACTGTGGCCTGATATTTAGAATAGTCAAGACTGAACACGCCCACTTCAGAATCCCTCAGTGCTTCAAATCGTCCATTACCTTGAAAATTAAGTCTTGCACTGCTTATGGCAGGACTTGTTTAGAAAGAGAAAAAGATTTTCCCTGGAATAGAATCATAGAATCATTTAGGTTGGAACAGACCTTAAAGACCTTGAAGTCCAACTGTGAGCCTAACGCTGCCAAGTCCACGGCTAAACCATGTCCCTCAGCACTATGTCTACACATCTTTTAAATACCTCCTTGAATGGTGACTCCTCCACTTCCCTGGGCAGCCCATTCCAAGGCTTCATAACCATTTTGGTGGAAACATTTTTCCTAATATCCAATCTGAACCTCCCCTGGTGCAGCTTGAGGCTGTTTCCTCTTGTCCTCTCACCTGTGACCTGGGGGAAGAGACCGACCCCCCCTGGCTACACCCTCCTTTCAGGGAGTTGGAGAGAGCCAGAAGGTCTCCCCTCAGCCTCCTCCAGGCTGAACACCCCCAGCTCCCTCAGCCTCTCCTCGGATGACTTGTTCTCCAGACCCCTCCCCAGCTTGGTGGCTCTCCTCTGGACACGCTCCAGCCCCTCAATGTCCTTCTTATAGTGAGGGGCCCAGAACTGACCACAGCCCTCGAGGTGAGGCCTCACCAGTGCCCAGTCCAGAGGCACCATCACTGCCCTGCTCCTGCTGGCCACGCTGGTCCTGATACAGGCCAGGATGCTGGTGGCCTTCTTGGCCACCTGGGCACACTGCTGGCTCCTGTTCAGCCGGCTGTCCACCAACACCCCCAGGTCCTTTTCTGCTGGGCAGCTCCAGCCACTCTGCCCCCAGCCTGTAGCGCTGCAGGGGGTTGGTGTGACTGAAATGCAGGACCTGGCACTTGGCCTTGTTGAACCTCATCCCATTGGCCTTGGCCCATCGATCCAACCTGTCCAGATCCCTCTGCAAAGCCTTTCTACTCTCCAGCAGATCAACACTGCCACCCAACGTGGTGTCATCTGCAACGTGGTGTCAACATGATAAAGATATTAAAAAGGACTGGCCCCGGTACCGAGCCCTGTAGGACACCACTTGTGACTGACCGCCAACAGGATTTGACTCCATTTCCCACCACTCTCTGAGTCCGGCTTCCAGCCAGTTTTTTACCCAATGAAGAGTAGGCCTTGTGGTGAATAGCCAGTTTCTCCAGGAGAATGCTGTGGCAAACAGTGATAAAGGCTTTACTGAAGTCCAGGTAAACAACATCCACAGCCTTTCCCTCATCCACTTTTCAGGTCACGTTGTCATAGAAGGAGATCAGGTTTGTCAAACAGGACCTGCCTTTCATGAACCGATGCTGACTGGGCCTGATCACCTGGGTGTCATTCATGTGCCGCATCATGGCACTCAGGAGGATCTGTTTCATGGCACTGAGGTCAGTCCGATAGGCTTGGAGTTCCCCAGATCATCCTGCCAACCCTTCTTGTCGATGGGCGTCACATTTGCAAACCTCCAGTCAACAGGGGCCTCCCTACTTTGTGAGGACTGCTGGTAAATGGTGGAAAGGGGCTTGGTGAGCACTTCTGCCAGCTCCCTCGGTATCCTTGGCCCCGTAGACTTGTTTGTGTCTACGTGGTGTAGCTAGCCATGTCCAAGTGGTATAGCTAACCATTTTCCCTTGTATTATGGATGCTTCATCCTGCTCCCCTTCCCTGTCTTCCAGCTCACAGTGCTGGGTACCCTAAGAACAACAGATCTTGCTATTAAAAGCTTCATCCTGCTCCCCTTCCCTGTCTTCCATCTCACGGAAGAGAGATGGGTACCCCAAGAACAACAGATCTTACTATTCAAGACTGAGCCAAAGAAGGCATTAAGTACCTCAGCCTTTTCCTCATCCTTTGTCACTATTTCCCCCCAGGATCCTATAAAAGATGGAGATTCTCCTTAGTCTGCCTTTTGTTATTAATGCATTTATAGAAACAGTTTTTATTGTCTTTTACTGCAGTAGCCAGATGAATTTCCAGCCAGAGCTCTCTGTTGAGCCAGGCTGGTCGTCTTCCCCATCGGCTCATCTGATGAATTTCCAGCCAGAGCTCTCTGTTGAGTCAGGCTGGTCTTCTTCCCCATTGGCTCATCCTTCAGCAATGGGGACAGCCTGCTCCTGTGCCTTTAAGACTTCCTTGAAGAATGTCCAGCCTTCATGGACTCCTTTGCCCTTCAGATTGCTTCCCAAGGCACTCTCAACCAGAGACTTCCTTCTTGAAGAATGTCCAGCCTTCATGGACTCGTTTGCCCTTCAGATTGCTTCCCAAGGGATTCTCAACCAGCTTCTGAACAGGCCAAATCTGCCCTCCTGGTGGCATTCATTCGGCTCATCTTTCAGCAATGGGGACAGCCTGCTCCTGTGCCTTTAAGACTTCCTTGAAGAATGTCCAGCCTTCATGGACTCCTTTGCCCTTCAGATTGCTTCCCAAGGCACTCTCAACCAGGCTTCTGAACAGGCCAAATCTGCCCTCCTGGAGGCATCCCTGCTTTGAAATGAGACTGTTCTCCACCCACCAAAACAAATCTGTTAGGGTAGGGCAACAGAATGTGGCTGCCTGGTTGGTGTTCATAGAGAATGGAAAACTACTCCCCGTGAATAGAAGTTCCCTATGAATAGAAGAGAAGGCTCCAGGAGACCTTATAGCGGCCCTCCAATACCCAAAGGGGGTTACAGGAGAGATGAGGAGGGACTCTTGATCAGGGAAGGGAGCCACAGGACAAGGGGTAATGGTTTTAAACTGAAAGAGGGGAGATTGAGCTGAGATGTGGGGAAGAACTTCTTTGGTTTGAGGCTGGTGAGAGCCTGGCCCAGGTTGCCCAGAGAAGCTGTGGCTGCCCCATCCCTGGAGGGGTTCAAGGCCAGGTTGGAGGGGGCTTTGAGCCTCCCTCCTGGTGGGAGGTGTCCCTGCCCAGGGCAGAGGGGTGGAACTCGATGGTCTTTAAGGTCCCTTCCAACTCAAACCATTCTATGATTCTATGAAAAATAAATAGTGTAATGTATGATGTCAAATGTCTGTACTATGGACATATTTGTGGTGGACTTTAGGGGAAGGTGCATATCTCTGAACATATTGCTGGGGAAAGTTTAGAAAAAGAAGCTAAGACCCAACCTATAACTTGCTAATTGTTAGAGGACAACTTCTCCCTGAAAATGTTTTTTTGTCAAAAGCTGTTAGGAAGAGACTTAGCAGATGACACAGCAAATTAGTTGTGTTGTCTACCAATGTTGCTTCATCTTTCTTCTTGATTTTTGACATAATTATATTCCTGGATTTCAGTGTTGACAGGGCAGTATCCATGGCCTCCCACAGGCCACTGCAAATTGAAACAACATTCACTCCATGGTTGAAGTACATTATTATAAAACATTTACCTTCCCTACCCAGATACTTATTCTCTTCTTTATTTCTCCTTAATACTTTTTTTTCATAAAAGACATCATCGGTTTTCTTTTTCTTCTAACATTATGTTCTAATCTCTGCTTCCTAGGGTCTTTATGTGTTCTTATTTCCCCCCCTGCATACGTATGTGTGCACTTCAATGCGTATTTTCTATTCATTGACTATAAGCATGCATTCAAAGTGGGGTTCATCTCATCTAACTTCAGCTTTAAATTTAGTCTAATTTAGTCCTTCTGTCATCAAGAGGGGGAGACAAGCACCTCCAGAACATAATTCATCCCACTTGCTGTAGACATGTGTCCCAAGACGAATACTCTCTGTCCACAGGCTGGCTCTCAGCCTTGGTCTTTTTTGGCTAATTGCCTACCTTAATCTAGAAGCTTAATTTTTATATGGCTGGGATTAGGAAAGATGAATTCTACCCTTCTCTTTTCTATTGTTTGCCTTTAGTTTGGGCATTCAAAAAAGTATTTACTGTGCCCAGCATTTTATCTGTAGCTGTGGAATGGCAGCATCTGTAACCTAAAATACAGCTTCTGCTCAGTTCCTTTGGTTTAAGGTTTTACTAATAGGGGTCAACTGAGGCTTGTTTCTGCGAAGTGCTACGCATAAAAAAACAGGAAGAACTTAAAGAGAGGATTGACTAAATGAAAGAAGATGGAAAGGTTACAGAGGCCAGTAAAGACACAGAGATTGAGTGACTTGTCCAGAATGATGAAGCAGAAGTGGAAAACTGGTCAAGATTTATTGACTCCCAACCCAGTGCCCCGAGCTCAAGATAAACTTTTCTTTTTCTCTCCCAAGTATCCCAGTATATATTAAGCTTATATGAAATAATAGGAAACCTGCCTCTCCCCCCCACCCTTTTACTTATTGATATTGAATGAGTAAGTTTTCCCTTGGGTATACAATCAAATCATTGGTGAGTGTATGTGCATCCTTTACATAATTTCAACAAGTGAATCATAGAGTGCCATTACACAGAAATAAAGGTTTTAGAAGATCAGAGACAAGCTGTTCAGCTGTAACTCCATACAGATTAATAAAAAGAACCGAGCTGCCAATTATTAATAGATTTTGAAAGTCTCAACTTTGAGGTATTTTATTTACAACATTACTTTGTAAAACAGCCTCTAGCAAAATACTTCAGTTATTAATATGAACATTACATTCTTTTCCCCTTTAATTTGGACATGCAGGAACTGTAAATGAAAGTGATTTTTTCTTCAGAGAGTGAATCACAGGAGCATTCTTAAGCAAACTGGCAGTTTTCTAATAGACCAAAATTCTATTCCCAGAGAGCTCTCAAAAAGATTTCAATTAGATGTTAAATTAGACACCTGAAGTTCACATATTTCTCTCAGCTCCTTAGGCAAAAATAACAAGATAATAACTTGATCAGATCAGAGAAGTTAGTGTTCTATTGCAAAATGTCTTCCTTTCGAAATAGATCAAAATTGCAGTTTGCAGTATAAAATTTTTAGATTGCTTGTCTGCGTGGAATGAAGTGAATGGCTTCTTGGGAGAGGAAGCAAAAAAAGAATCTCTAGTGCTTTGAGTACTTCTTTGAGAACTGAAGCACACTGATAAATATGCAATGTGAATAAACTTTTCAAATGTGCGATGAGTGGGTAACAGAAAAATTCTTAACGCTGAAGTTGGGTATGTCCTACTTTGGCGTCTAATTTCAGTTGGCATTTTGGGGTCAGGTTTTTCAAACAAAAGTTTTCCCAGTTTTTCTCTGCACGTGCTTAAAATGTTCCTGGAATGATGTGGTCGACAGCAGGGCATAGTGAGTGTGTGTTTGATGTCCGCAGCTATGTTGGCAGAGGAAGAATAGATTTTAGTAGAATCCCAGTGAAGGCTCCTTGTAATTTAAACTCTTTGTTACCTGTAGATGTGGTAACAAATATTGTTACAACCAAACTAAATGACAAATATTTGCACCTTGCCTCATATTTTAGAGGGGGGCTTTGTATTTCTGCAAAGGAGAGACAGGTAATAATGAACCTCAGTTGCTGGTACCCTTACTGGCATGGAATTTTAGGAGGCTTTGCCTATGGAAAAGATGAAAGTGGACATGAGTATGGTGAGGAGATCAAGGAGCTGACCTTAGCCTTAATGGGAAAGAGAGCTTATGGGCAGGCTTTGTCTCAGGTAAAGAGTCTCATGTACATGTATTTCTCAAATGGGCTATTTATAAAAGTTAATGATGGTTTACCTGGGATGGTCTATGGACATAAGCAAGATAATCTTGGCATGCAGAATGAATACCATTTTCTAGACCAGCTCTATCTACAAACTTTGTTTTTCTCATTTATAAAAGCTCATGCTCTACAGGTCTGCATCTAAGATGATTTATATGCTGCAGCACCTATTGAAGCCAGGCCCTAGAACATTAAGCAATACGGATGATTAATAAAATTATACAAAACCAGCAAAAATATTTCCTGATCAATCAGGGAATATTACAGTTTATTAATAGAAGGTGTAGATACTTGCATGATACTTGCTGCTGTGAGGAACTTGCTTCTCTGACTTGTCAGGTGGCATGAGCTGTGTCAGTGCAGCTTCTTACAACACGTTACCAGAAACCACGTGGGGTACTATGCCTTCTAAACTGAGCAGTGACCATGATGTGCTGTGTTCTTCCTCCCTTTCAGCAAAACAAATAACTATATTCTTATCCTCAAATACCTCAGTAGTCATTGGCTTCACTGGGGATTCATCAGAAGTTTAAAGAAATAACCATATATTTAAAGGTTTTGCTGATTTGATGCTCAAGTACTTAAATCTTTGAAACTGGGTCCTTGAGGAGTTGTGCTATTTGTGATGATTGAAATTTCTAAATTAATTTCTAAAGTACAGAGAGCATTCCTATACAGTTTGGGCAGTGAAGTTGTGTCTTCTGTGTACTTTGTAATTATTTTCATGGAACTGCTTACCATAAACCTTTTGTGTCACAGCCTTCTGCAGTTCCCCATCAGCATGCAGCCTACCATAGTTACTTATTTTCATTAGTCTATTTTATAGGCAGAACATTTATTCTAAGATATTGCAACGAAAGCAATACAGAAATGCTATACACTATGTCAACAAAAGAAATACGGTCAAATCCAGTAAGAGTCATCATGCAAGAAATCCAAACCAGCCAACTGCATACCTCTGAGATGATGAAAAGAAATCGGTAGAGTCTGAAAATTGGTGATGTGTCATTTTGCTCATTCCAGGCATCTCCTATGCTGAAACTGCTCTGGGAAGCATGTGGCATTAGTATCAGATCAGCATGTGCAATGAAGCTGTATGTGATACTAGCCCAAATTTTAAGGATGTGGAACCTGTCTTTGAAATTTAACACAGCTGTACGTAACTTGTCCCTATCCCCACAGCCCCGCTGCTGCAAGTGGCAGGAATGCAATAGATGTATGCAAGGGAGGTTTTTAGATTCCTTGCCTTGAGCAAAATTAGCTAATGATACTAATTCAGATACGGTACAAATGGGGCGCATTAAATGGCTTAAATTAGGTCAAATTGAATAATTGAATTTATTCTTTTACTTAAAAAGAGCTTAATCAGCTGAGAGCGCTGGAGTCAGAAAAAAATAGTTTAATTAAATATTAATTAGAAGTTTATATTTTGAGCTTCCTTATCATCACTTGCAGCAATATTATACATGTGTCTCTCTTTTCCTCATTGCAGCTACTAGGGGATGATGTTCAACCATTCTCACTCGATGAAGAATTTGATTATGACAACGTGGCACTGACCCCTAAGTTCTCTGAAGCTGAGCTGAAGGCCGTGATGGGGCTGTCTGAAGAGAGGAAAATGGGGACAGATGTCACGTCAGCAGGAGCTGAGGACTGAGTCACAGGCATTCCGTGCGGTGCTGTTGAAATAACATTTTTATTGGGGAAATCTGGCTCTACATTGTACCCGTATTTAGTGTCCTTATCTCTGTGGCCAGTAAATGACATGCTGGAGATTTGGGTGCTTCTTCTACCAAGGTGCCTTTCCCCAAACCTCCTCCTCATCCTAAGGAAAACACGGAATAGGAAGATGGTTTTGCCCGGAGTTGCTTGTATAGTAGCCCTTCAGCCAGAGAGGAGGTATTTCCACCCTCTTTATATGTCTGTACATATGATTTGCATAGGCGTTAAGGTTGGCTAACGATGTCTGTATTTGTCCCTAAACCCAGTGGGATTTTTAGTGCAGATCAGTGACCTTTAATATTTTTAGGCCCCAGTATTCAGTACTTTGTTGTTTTCCAGGTGGTGCGAAGCAGTTGGAAGGATGTCTCAAATGACAGCCATAAATTCCCTTCTGTAGGAAAACCCTTGGGCAGGGTGAATCCTGTGTTGGCTCGGGTTGGATATGCTGGAGTAAGCACTCCACAGGACCAACACAAGCTGGTGGAATTCGGGATAGCACTGTGGCTACTCTGGCTTAGATTTGGAACCGACTCAGTTCCTGACTAGCACAAAACCAGACCTAAAGCTGGTTTTTACCTCGTTCTTTCAGTAGTGCAAATAAGTGCATTTTGCAGCTGACAAATCAGTCTACAAACCCTTTCCCTATCATTATAAGAGTTAAATATACAGAGTTACGCGAGTGAATAAATCTGGGAATGTTGGGTTATTTTCTCTGTCTTTTTGGATTACTTCAGTTCTGCAGAGAAATAAATATTTATGTTTCCAATAAACTTTTTGAGTTGATCAAAATTGATGTGATGCAATTCCTAGCAATTAAAACATGAACTGCTACAAAAAGCCTTCCACACAGAGGAAAAAAAAAAGTGATCTCACCCACTAAAGGGACGGGCATTAAAGGGCTGTCAGATTTGACATTTTTTACAGGAGGTGTTTCCAAATGCAAAGGTACACGGGTGGGAGAGGAGTGTGCATCCCCGACACCAGGTAGGATGTACTGTTGCTGAGAGGTGATTAGAATTCATATTTTTTCAGCTTACTGCAGAAGCTTTGCTGTTGAGGCTTGGTTTATGTCATGGTTTCGGCCAAATTGACCAAAACCAGACTGACCGATGGCCCTTCCCCCCCTCCCACCTAAAAGAGAGGAGAAGAAGAGAGAAGGAGATTCAGAAGTTTCGAATGAACTAAACTACTTTAATGAAGAAATTTAATATTAAAATCAAAAAGAAGAAAATAATGAAATAGATACAGTGTATACAAAACCATATCATCCCAGGATGACAGTCACGTCACCAGCAGGCAGTGGGGACGTCCCAGACTGGACTCATGGATGGGTGGGAACTGGGTTCCAGCTCTGGAGTCAGGAACACACGGATGGGGATCAAAGGCAGATGAACAGACAGGATCCTCCTTGGACATCGGCCATTGAAGGAAGAGCTGACCCTTTGATCCCTCAGCTTTTCTACTGAGCGTGGGGCAGATGGGATGGAACACCCTGTTGGTCAGTTTGGGGTCACCTCTCCTGTCCCCTCCTCCCCACAGCTGGGACCCCTCTGCGCTTCTCCGCTTCCCACCCTGCAATGGGGCAAACAAGGGGATGAGCTGACCTTGGCTGTCAGAGCAATAACAGGAGCCTCTCTGCTCACCCTTCCTTGGCATGGAGCACAAACGTTGGTCTGATCACTCTGAGAACGAGCAGTTTTCTCCACAACATGCTGTTAATTTCAGAGAATTAGAAGAGACCTAGCCAAGATATAAAATTACTGAGCAGAAAGTTGATTCTGTTTCACTTCAAACTTCACTTTTTCTGGTATAACTGCATTAGCTAAAGTTTATTGACCAACATTTTGCCCTTGGCCTGTGTCCGTTATTTGAGGTGTGTGATTAACATAATGAATGTGGGAAAGGTGCCTGGGATGGAACTACAGGTTGTTTAAAGGCTCTGGATGAAATCCCTGTGGCTGGTTGGCAGCTCCATTGTCAGCAATTTATAAAAGCAAAGAAAAGTGCTTTGATGCTCCAAAGGAAATTTTCTGGATCAGTAATTTTGTAGACCATAATCACACACCACTGAAATCTAACAGCATTTGTTTTGAGGAATGGTATTTACCTCAACTGGGGGGATATAATTTAAGAGTGGAATTAACGAAAAACAGAAAAGCAAGTGGTCTCAGGCAAGATGTTTAAGGAGAGCGATATAAAACTACAAGTATATTGTATAGCAAAACTGGTCTGTATAGGACCTTGCTGGTAGAAGATAATGAGAAATTTATTATTAATGTCTACATCAAAAGGATGCCTGAGTTGGCCTGAGCAGATCTCTTTATTAATTCATCTTCTTCTGGAGGACTGGAGGACACAGATAATGTGTATAAATGTGAGGGATAAAAAGTAAGTTCTGGAAGAGCTCCACCAGCGAATCTGGGAGGAAGAAATTGAGAATTGCTGTACAAAGATAGCAAGGTCAGCCTTTAAAAGCTTCAACAGGAAAATGAGGGAGACAACCTCATGAATATATGTGTGTATAGCAAAGATAAAGCAAGGAACCTTTAGTCTAAGAGACCTCTGTGTAGGGAGCTTGCTAACCTGCAGACAAAGAATCAAATGTCAATAAAGGTGGACTTTACTGGGTTTGTGAGATGATGAATTCAACACTTTTTGGTGTGGTTTTTTTAAGAAGGATATGAGACACACAAGCTATAGATCCGTCCTGTTGGAATCCTGTTGCTGGCGGAGTCAATGAGAAGGATGGTCCAGGGGTTCATAATGATCTTCAGGCCAAATCAGCTCTGGAATCTCTAAGTGCATTTTCTATTCATTTCATTATCAATTTTTCCCTGTACATTAGGGCTACATCCAACCATTCAGTGTCTTCTCTCCCAGGCAGATGATTCTCTTAGCAAATGTTCAGAGTTCCTATTTTGCTCCATAAGTGTCATTCAGCATAGCCATTATATCGTTCCCTTTGATGGGAAGAAACACTTTGCTGCAGAATACCCAACACAATTGGAACTCTTTAGTGCCATCCATCCTACACGGAGAAATGGGGATAATTCACTTACATTTACACCACTCATCAGTTAGATTTTTGCTCTTTGTTAACAGAGATGGATCTTGCAGTGAAGATTAGGCAATGGAGGCTACATGTCCTGAACATGACACTTTATTGGCCTGCCCCTGTGGTTGTTTCTGGCTTGTAGCTTTCATTTGATTATTCTTCAAAGAGGAGGCATATTTTTATCTTCTCTGGTACCAGGCTGTCATTTTTAAGAACATACTTTCTGTGCATGTTAAATTTTATACAGGTACCTGGAGTTAGTTACCTGGAATTGTGTCAGTGTTTGTGAGGTAGTTTAGAGTCTGAATAATATATATCTTTTCCTCTTGTAGCTTGTATTCTCTTTAATATTTTCAGCAGGGGTTGGTGAGGGACATGATCCTTTTCTATCTATGGTCTTTTCTAAACACTTCTTTTGTTTTCCAAAAGAATTAAAGGCAAAACTCACCCATGGAACAAGAAACTTTGAATGCTGCTTGGAATCAACGGGGGGCTCTTGCAGTAGGGAATGGGATTGTCTCCCTTCCACACTGATGAGGATTTTGACTGCAAAATACCTGATATGGTGTGAACCCATTGGAAGTGAAGAACTCTGTGATGCCTCTCTCTGATGCCTTTGTGTTCGTGACTTCCTTGATGTCTAAAGTGCAGGAGAGATACGCAGCCGTATCAGTCAGTGGGCTTATCTGTATTAAACTTAGGACAAGAGGAAATGGGCACAAATGTGAATATAAGAAGTTCCACCTAAACTTGAGGAGGAACTTCTTTCCTGTGAGGGTGGCAGAGCCTGGCAGAGGCTGCCCAGGGAGGTGGTGGAGTCTCCTTCTCTGGAGACATTCAAACCCCACCTGGACACGTTCCTGTGGGACCTGCTCTGGGTGGACCTGCTCTGGCAGGGGGTTGGACTGGGTGATCTCCAGAGGTCCCTTCCAACCCCATGGCATTCTGTGATTCTGTGATACTTGCTACTTAGGTCTTGCCAGAAGGATACTGACAGTTTCTTTCCACAATCTTGGTGGAAAGAGAGTCTTGGTGGATCCCAGGACTCCCCTGGAGTTTTATGGGACGTTCAGCCCCGGATTCCGCCGGGGCCAGAATCTGACGGGTTGTTTCCTTGGCTGCCTGTGGTGCAAGCTCAGATGTCACTAATGCTCAGAGTGCACAGTTTCTTTCCACAATCTTGGTGGAAAGAGAGTCTTGGTGGATCCCAAGATTCCCCTGGAGTTTTATGGGACGTTCAGCCCCGGATTCCGCCGGGGCCAGAATCTGACGGGTTGTTTCCTTGGCTGCCTGTGGTGCAAGCTCAGATGTCACTAATGCTCAGAGTTACTCCTTGTGGGTGTAAAAGGAAGAGCAATTATTTGCTGAGATAATGGTTGTGAAAGAATAAGATAAAAATTGAAGAAATGAAAAGAGAGGCAGTCAAATCTGAGTCAGACATTATTATGGTTCTAAATATATTTCTATTAATGCACAAAGGTATCATTATATACACTTGTATACACACAGTGCCACTGAAAGAAAATAATTTTAGTATGGAGAGTGCTCACCAGATAATTCAGAACCTTTGAAGAAGATGGCATGGAAACAAATCCCTGCTTTTATGGAAAAGACCCTTTGATCCTCTGGCCTTGATTTTCTGCAGTTATAAACTGGCAGAACTCCACTGAGGCCATTTATATTCATACAGAGCAGACAGGGCCCCGGTATTTACAGTCTTAGTGGAAAGAATACGGAGCCAAATCAATTCCTGATTTAACTTTACTGAATATAAAGCTATGCTTCTCACCCATTATCGTTATGGGAAAATATTCAAATGCAGAGCCAATGAAAATGAAATGTAAAAAAACATCTTTAACTGTTCAGTTACTAATTTACACAGGGCATTATGGAGTTTCGGTGGTGGTGTGTGCTTAGGACGTTGCTTTTTGCTTTAGCAAAAATACAACATACATTTTCAAATGTCCTATTCCGAACATGACACTTGATTGCACACAGAACTACCAAAGATTCCCACCTCCTTTAATGTTTGGTTTTGGCTTTTTTTTTATTTATTTTTCCTTCTGGATCTTGGCAAGGATTGGAAATGGACTTTGCTTTGTCTTGGAGTTGTTTTTAAAAAGACCTGACTTCTGTTGTAAAAACGTACAGTTTCTTACAGAGGCGGGCTCTCTCAGTTAGTGATGCAACACTAAATGCAGCAATAAAAAAAAAAATAGGACCGAATTCCTACTTATTCAGCAACTTCATGTACGTCATGGTGTGACTAAACAGCCGCTTGGGATCACGGTGTCTGCGTGAGGAGCAGGCTGGCTTGTCTCCTCTTGCCCTCTGCTTTCAGTTTTCCTCGGGAGTCTCAGCAGTAGCTTGGTCCTACCTGGGTGTGAGTTCTCAGAGCCCTGTGAGGAGGCTGCAGGACAATTCAGTGATGCTGACAGGAGAAGCCAGACCAGCAAGTCTTGTGCTGGGACCCCATGCCCACTCCAGCCTCCTGAGTGATGTAGCTGAGTGGGGCTGTTCACCTCTGCCCAGCCGAGGTTTGTGTTACAGCCATCGTGAATGCGATACTCCTGAAGATGTGCAATGAGAGAGTCATGTCAAGGGTTGGGGCAGGGCTTCATAGAATCATAGATTGTGTTGGGTTGGAAGGAACCTCCAAAGGGACATCTATAGATCAAGTTGCTCAGAGCCTCATCCACCCTGCCCTTGAGTGTCTCCAGAGATGGGGCCTTCA